TAATTTATAATAATAAATAATATTTACTTCGAGTAACGAATACAATTTAGTTTGAAAGTGACACCATTGAACATTGATACAAAGTTTGAGATCATTGGAAGTAGGAAGATAACTATTTATGTAAATTGAATAGACATTACAACATATTATTTAGCCAAATTTTGTATAATTACCTATGTATAATATAACCATGAGGTATAACCACTAAACTGACTATGTGGGATACCACGATCTATACGTAATTAAAATGTTATGAGTATACAGATTTCGAGTATCTAACCTAACCGTGTAGAATATTATAATTTATAATAAACATGAAATTAAATGTCACGACACTGCGCATATTTTTTCATTTAACTATTATTAATTGCATAAACAACGAACTTAATATTTTAGCGTACCTAAATTTAAATGTGTTTACTAGGATAATTTACATATTTACTTGCATTCAAACATTAAATACGTACATAACCATTTAAATTGTACAATAACTATATATTCAAGAACTGCTTTAATAAGACTACCAACCTCGCTTGTGTTGATATTTTATATAATTAAATTAATCTGTCTACACCATAGTTTCTCAAATGTATATATAAGTACCTAGTACCTACTAAATAAATAATAATAATATATGCATGTATCTATTCTAATCAAAACGTTTTATTACTTTCACGTTTAGTTATCATCTGACGAATCAAAAATATTTATTTTTATATCACCCAAAAATATTTTATTACATAGGTACTGAGGTCAGAGAGTAAAGTGAAACAATAAATATACAATAGTAGCAATATTAATCAGTATTAAATAATTATGTTAGAATATGACTAAGTATAAAATGCACAAAATATTAAAATATTTTTGATTTATTTACACAATAATTTAATACTTATCTATATTTTAGCCCTTTATTAAATTAAAAAACAATTATTGTTACAACCAATATTATACAGTCGATTAGATATCAAAACATTGATTTATATAATACATTCTGTTAATCTTGTTTTATCATTCGTACTATAAATATTTACATACATTCTCATTTTAACTTAAATATTATTACAAAATCCACATAATTTTTGATATAGATATTTTAATCCAAAAAGACGATATATAATCATAAAAAGCTAATATGTAAATAATAATTGAACATTTTCTATACTTCGATTCCATTGTGAGATTTAAAATCACTTTAAAAACTATATTGATGTTTTATAACTTCAACAGTCTGTAATCGGTTAGGTTAGACTGTTCAATACTTCAATATACCAAACACGAGGAATATACCAAACCCTTGATCAAACCTCATAATAAGTTTTCCCATCAATTTCATTAAAGCTTATTATCAGTGTTCCATAGTATATTATAAGATATAACATTCACCACATAATGATCGTCATTTACTGACTATTGACAAACTTACTATATTGTGGTACACCACAAAAAAAATTCCCAACATATTAATCATCTACTCAAACTCTCTGATCCGAAAGTTATACTCTACAACAATACCTACTAATATTACTTGCTGTCTAAGACTTACTGATCAAGGAATAACTACTTACAAAAAAATACGTTTTAAGGATGCTTTATAGCGAGTTAGTGATTAGAAAACGTGTTATCATCTATCCATTTCTCTCCTTAAGTCTATGACAAAAAAATAATAAATTTCCTTAAAAACTGTAGCTTAATTATTGAAGGTATTTAAAAATCTTTTATATAAATATCATTAAACAATATGTTCTTTTTAAAAATATTATACATTAATAAAATGGTGAATATTGAAAGTCATTATCCAATAATACGTATGTTGAACAAAGATGAACATAACTTTTAAAATATTTAGAACAGTTGAAAGTATTTAAATAAATTATAATATGAATGATGATGATCAAGAATAATTTATTTTTTAAATTTAACAAATGTTTTGAAAGTTTATAAATTATAGATAATGTTCATCAATGAGTATTATTAATTCAATAAAATAGTAAATAACTGATGGGATTCTAAAATTAAATTGTTATTCAATCATATACGAGTAGATAGTTAATTCTTATCCAGTAATTTAAATGCATAATAATACCAAAATATAATGCTCAAAACCAAAAATATAAAAGTTTCGATTAGTAATAGTACACCAAAATAATTGCAATTAATGATTTGGAATTAACTTTTATAGGTACTCAATAAAAAATTAAAAAACATTAGTATACTCCCACCTATCAAATAAAAATACATAAGTACATCAATTCAATTTCCAAAAAAAAAAGAAAAAACTATTTTGAACAGATCTAATGAACAACAAATGTAATAAAAATAATAAAAGATAAATATTATGTTATTCAAAATGTATCAAACAAATATGATAATTATAGGTCTCAACGAGAAGAAACGTAATAATTTAACGAAACAAAAAATTATTTTAATTTTTTAACTGAATACAACTTAACATAAGGTTAGCTATAGATTGTTATCTAGAATTTAATGAGAAAAGGTTTAAAATTTAGGTTGTTGCATTATTTTATAATAATAATAAAAACAATAACAATAACAGAGGCTTTTGAAAAGTATAATAATAGTGTTAAAAAAATCAATGTAACACAAATTTACAATGTTCTATTGAGTCCGCATAAAATGGTCTTTTACAAACAATTTCTTATCAATTGATATTTTAATAATAAAAAATAAATATACCATGACCTCAAATACTATACCCAAATTCTATTAAAAAATCAATATAATTTAGAACTCATGCGTTGAAATAATACATGCATCTTTGTGAGATTCTCATTTAAAACAATGACCCAATCAGCATTTTATACATTTTGTCGGCGTATATTATTTTATTTTATAAAATTTGTAAGCAGAACAAAAACAAAACCAATTATCTCTCTATGTATGAAAAATTATAATATTTTGTCATTTCGACTGAAATTTGGATGAATAAAGTATAGGTTTGGATTGTTTTAACATTTACCATTTTTTTTATACATATATACATTTATATATAAAATAACAAACGGGCTCATTTAATATTTAAAACTATTGGTATGTATTTTTTTTTTTTTTTTTGTATATTTGATTATGTTAATTCAGTTCAACTAAAACTGTTATTAGTCTACATGTTTATGCGATTGTAGCAATTAAAACATTTAAATTCACGGTTGATCGATTATGGACCTGAAGGTTGAACATGTTGATTAATTTACGCTTGTTTGTTTATGCTTACATATCAAACAGACAATGATCATTATTACATTGACCCTCGACCCACCCCCTCAATAGGCTCCACTTCCTGTTCTATTTATAAAATACCCATTCCTTTATGATAATATAATAATATATTATACTTTGCAAGGGTTAATTGTTGTTATTATCTATAGACTTAAAATATTAGTTAGTTTAGTCAGACAAGATTTCCTTTGGAACTCTTCGTACTATCAATAAACTTTGAAAGTCAATTAAGGATTATAGAAGATATTATTATTTACTTTTGTGATACGCAAATATTTTGCTTATAAAATCAATAAAAAAACTCATAACCTAACAGTATATCCAATTTATATATTTTTTTTTTTAAATATTTTTTAAGTTATAAAACTTAATTTTCGTAAAATCTGAGCACCGATTTATAATATACAAATACATTTATTAATTATTAGTTTATTTTAAACAGATAAACTTTAATATGTCTATATAACAGACAGCGAAAATAAAACTTAAAACAATCAATTTTATAGGTAAATATTAACAGTGTATAATGTATATACACCATAAACTGAAGCAGAAGAGATAATTATTGAGTACATTTAGTGGGTAGCAAAAATATTTTTCGTTGGGTTCCTAAAATAATATATTAAAAGAGTTAGAATTTAAGAAGTCAAAATTATATTTTAAAAAATAAAATAAAAATATATATGAAAAAAATTATTATAAATAAAGGACAAATTACAACATTCTCCAAAATAAATATTAAACGGGACTAAAATTCATTATTGTAGACTGTCTTTTCAAAAATATTAGATTCGGTGTTGTATTTAATAACTATTTTATAATAATTACCATTTACTATTAAAGTTATTGACCGTCAAACCTTTCGACAATTGCCATCCACGCGTAACACCCCGTAAAATACTATTTATTGTTTAAGTTTTAATAAAACTATTATGAAAAGTGAAGTCCTAAGGATAAATGAAATTTATGTTTGTATTAAAATGTTGATATTTAATAAAATACAGTAAGTTTTCAAAGGAAGCAAAAACATATTTTTAGATCCAGCAAATAAATGAATAACATACTCTTGTTCAAATAGTTAATTTTACAGTAAATGGGACGCTAAAAATAAAACAAAAATCACAATACTTTTTATCATTTTATACTACTTTAAAATATATATACAAACCATTTTTTATATGATTTAATCACATGATTAGGTTATAATTTATATCACATGGTCTTAAAAAATATATATATTAGTATGCTACTAATAAGTACTTAATGCCATTGGGTTAAGAGTTATTATAATATTATTCAAGACCGAATTTGGGGTCGGACTGTTGGACGCGTCTTTGCCAAGACTCAATTGTGGCAGACAATGATAATAAGACACGCGTGTTGATGTAGCATCCCCTCAAATCAGATAAGTAAAGCAATTTATTAGGAATCTAGTGACCATTATTCTCAACGAGACTATCTCGATGTACAATTTATTTTAGAAATAAGACACTGTGCACATATTATATTGCAACGATACACGATTATGGGGATCACAGTTAAATCTATATATATATATATCCATATATAGGTATGCACTACATGACCTATGTTTTATTATGATAAGGTATATATTAACATACGAGTTACTCCCACATGAGCAACGCACAATAACATATACCATTATGTATATAATTTCAAAGAGACGTCGATGCTTGCATTGTTTTTGCAACGTTCTATATTATATTATTATGTTTGTAATGAAATAATACTCAGGGTCGTACCTTTTGGAGTTCGCTGAGTGTCAGCGTGGGCTGCGCGGTGGACATTGTGACTTGAGTTCCAGTCATGCCATTAACATCTCGAGACCGTTAGCCTGAAACTGAAAATAATTTTTATCATTAAATCGCGTAAACGTGAAAAATGCATATATATATACAATAATAATATATATAAAAAAAAAAAAAACAAAGTACGAAACGGTTCAAAGAGCGGAGTCGAGACAGTAATATAATATTATAAAAGATTAAAATGTCAAGTACCTATCTACATATATAAAAAAACGTATATTAAATTCACTTAGTAAAATACATAGATACGCAATGACGTTGATATCAGGGCCACTGATATATTATATATTCTACAGAAACACAAAAGATATGTCTAATTCTATACTTTTTTAATATCAGTGAAACTGTCGGAGTGTAATATTATTTTATTCTACTAGAAATGTCACCCTGCAGAATTGTCAATAAACTGTTAAGCCCATAGACAGTTGGACATTTAGGTATTCGGCATAACAAGTTATCGGACTGTAATTTATTTACATACAAAATTTGAGTTGCAAATTATTTATCTAAAACGTGCTTTACATATTATTATTTTAAGACTTATGTTCAAATTATCATAACGTGAAACAGAAATGACGATTTTTACTGAAACATACATTGTTATAATTTATAAGAAACAAAATGCAGTGTGATCATCGAGTTCTAAATTAAATTTAATTGGAGTTATAACATTTTAGTGATAAATTATGATTATGTCTTAATTTAATAACACACACAGATCAATTAAAGTTTTTAAAAATAATTTTTTTTTTATTTAATTGAAAAATGTTATTTGATTTAGTTTTTATAATTTGTTTGAATTTTAAAACTATAAATGATTATGTTAAAAGTAAATAAATTTACGAGTTTTTAGGTTTAGAACGTTAAGTATAAATTACGTCATAGTTTAAAAATAATAAATTTATCAAAACCACCAATGTTGTTAATTACCTAATGAATAATGGTGAAATGGTGAAAACTAAAAATAAAATATACTTGATACTTAAACAATGTTACGCAGAAAAAATATTATTTAATAATAAAAATGCATAAAAGCTTGAATATATAGTTCTTCGAAATAACGCTCCTTAGAAAATATAAATATATAAAAATATTAAATTCAAACGAACATAGATATTATTCATATATTTAAGTATACCATTCAGCCATTTTCAACCTTTTTTCTTTCTATTATACACATACAAATAATAAAGGTTGAAAATATATATTGTTGAAACACACATTTTATGAATAATTTTATTACTTATTGACACCATATAATATAATGTAAAATCGATAAAATGTATAGTAACAGTGTGTATAAATAATAAATATATTTTTCTAACATACGTAAAAAAATACTAAAAATGTTAATTTTGTAATGAAATATACATATACAAATATTAAAAATGTTTTCAATTAAAATTAATATCATTGAGTTCAATTTTTACAATTAAATTCAACTATATATTTTTTTTTATTAATATTATAAATGGAAAGAAGAAACTATAGCGATGTTTGTAGTAAATATATAAGAGCGTATAACCGTATTAATTATAATAAATAAATACATTATGTAAATACATAAAATATATACATTTTATTTATTCGTATATACACAAAATACAGTGTTTTAAAATAATATCGAATGGCGGTCATTGAACAAATAATGTAGTTGAAGGGCGAAACGATCCATTTGTCTTGGAAAAAAAACTTAGTTGACTGAAAATATCTAACGATTTAGACATGAAAAAACTTTCCACTGATTATTACTGGTATATAAAAAAAATGTCAATCATTGGAAAACCAAAAAAAAAAAGAGGTAAAGTTTAAATTTTACAATTTTATTACATCGTAAAAACTGACTCAAAATAATTTCTCAAAAATACTTTTACAAGTTACAAGTAAACATAATAGAATAAAAAAATGATATTATCTTTGTAATTTACGACCAAATAAACGTTTATTTCAATTGCAAAATACCAAGATTTTTTTTACATGGAAAAATATTTTTATGTACCTCGTATACATCTATAGAATTTAAAACCGATTTCTAGCGTATAGAACACTTGGTGTTTATAATAATGTTCGATGTTATGTGCACCAACGGTTAAATTGAATGAGGTATGCTTTTGTTACATCATAACTCAATTGTAATTAACCAAATGTTTATTGCATCACTTCCTATAACAGCCGTTGATTATAACGCTCTCGAATGCATTTTATTGGAAATACTAGCTCGCCAGATTATTGGAGGGACGCAAAAATATTTGAAATTGTTTTTATAATAAAACACATTCAAAGGATTTACGGGTGTTGCTAGCTGCACGAATTTCACTCGAGAAGAAAAAAAAACAAAAGAAAACATAACGCCTCCGCACAACAATTGTGTGTCAACGCACTGATTTATGAGTTACTGCAAAATGTCAAAGATCATATATATATATATATATATATATTGTTATGAGTTTTTAACGGAATTTTCAATCTTGCGAAACAAACGTTCACTGATGTGATGTGAAGCCACCACTTCCATCTAGCAGTTGTGCGTTAAAAAAAAATCCAAAAAATAGCTTTTTATCATATCTCGTTTTATATATACTTATACATGGTATTGAAACACCGCAATAGGCCATTAATTTTATTAGTTCCATTTCCTATAGTTATTACCTACTATGGCTTTCATCGAATGGCCAGAAAAAAAGAATTTTTAAGGGTATAGGTACCTATAACGCGTTATTATTTTCGTGTTATGATTATAATCATCTGTTACTACTATTTTTTTTTTTTTTTTTTTTACTTCATTTGATCAAAATATTATTATTTTAGGAACATGTACTACTTAAAAATAATTTTCATAAATTTACTTTAGTAATACTGTACATTTCGATATATTATATTAGGTAGATATTAAAATATAATGTAAACATACAATTTTGTATTTTTGTTTATTATAACATATTAAACTATTTCCTAACATGGTATAATATTATGCAAATTATTATTAATATTTCAACGAATAAAAATTAAATTAGAAAATAATAAAGTTCAATAACTCATGTTTTCATAAAAATAAATATAATTTAATATCAAAAATATAATAACAATAATAAATACAGGTATGATATTATTAGTCTCGAGTATAACAACGTATATTTTTTGAGAACTTTAATTTAAAAATAATAACGATATATCTACATTCAGATTTATAACAGTATAACAATTTAATTATTATGCAAGGTTCAGATACTTATTATAAAATATTTTTTGATATACAAAATTGTTTTTAAAAGTTTTATTTGAATGGGTATTATAATAAAAAGGTTAATAAATCAAATAACGTTCTTGGTTTATTTGAAAGATAGAAGTTTTTATTTAATATAATGTCATTTAAAAAATTAATGAAAATAAGACATAAAATTAAAATCAAACATAGGTAACTCAAAGGAATTTACGAAAACTTTTACGCGGCTAAAATAAGCCTCGGGGCTGCAAAAACTAGAAAGTAAAAGCCAATAAAAGAAAGAAACAGCGATAAAAAAAAAATGCACACACTAACACTCCACTAATGTACTTGAGAAATTTCTCCCTTTCGATTTTAGAATAATTGCCAGATTGGCGAGGCTGGCACACCGCGCGGCGGCTGCATGGATACACTCACAAACATTAATAAACAAGGTTAGTAGGCTCGGGCACCGACGAGAGAGCAGTGGCGTGCACTTGTGGAACCGGTTTTTTATTTTATTTATTATTATTATTATTTTTTATATACTTATCAATAGCGACATTCCTTTCACGAGGAGTGTAAAAATATTATAAGAATTTCCAACCATCGTCTTCGACTTGCGCTGGCACTTGGGACATCTGCGAACCGTTATACACGAGGAACTCGTAGTTGCGGCTTCTGCATAGTAATAATATGGCGACAGAGCGTTAAATGATTATTAATATACGAATCACCAAGTGTAGTTGATACCTTATTTACGTAAAATTATATTATTATATTCGAATCGTTCGAATTCCGTTACGTACGTGCAAACGTACATAATATTGTACAGGATGTTTAAAAACCTGACGAGGCCTTAACCTTGATAAGGATAGGTAAACCGCAATAGTGTTTACGAGTTATTGGAGATATAGAAATACTATCATAAAAATAACAACTATCAAAAACTTCTTTCTTTTGGTGAGAGAAACTTTGTTGATGCATTAACCAACTATAATATATTATATTTAATATAAGAACATCGATACAGTGTAGAGCGATTCTTTTAAAATATAAAACACTAATTTCCCCATTGAATTTTTTAAAAATGTATATTTATATAACTTGGAATACCCGCCTATACTTATAGATTACAACACGTTTTTTTGGAGAAAAAATATCTTATTATTTTACAAGACTATAATTATATATTGTTTATGTATTGCGTTATTATAATAAGTATGTAAGTACCACTTTTATAACATAGATCTAAAAAAAGCGGTCACATTAATAATACAGTAAAATTATAAATATTCTATTTATTTTATTTCAACAATTTTTTTTTCAAATTTAACCAAATCAAAACAAATAAAAATGTTTTTTTCCATCCATTCACACAAACACGTAGATAGATAGGTCTATTTTTAAAACGAATGTCCTTAGATGAATTAATCATAAAATAGTTGTTATAAATTTATTATAAGTATTAGTATACTTACATAATAATAGTATGTTGTTTAGAAATATTTTCAAGTTTCAAGGGCGTTATAAGATGTATAATGTAGCAATCTAATACAGTAGAACCAATTTACCTCATAGTAATTCAATGATACATACAATATAATATTATATATTAACGTAAGCAATTGTTTAGTAGGTCTATGAACTGTATAAAATTATTTGGTTACCTATTGGATCAACAAACGTGGTTTACCTATATAAAAATCAATGTGTAATAATCAAATAAGATTAAATAAACTTTGACAGTCAAATGATAATAATTATTAAATAGGAACTATATTGTTTTAATTGTATATCATGTGAAATGACTAAAAAGAAAACATGAAC